TCACTTGTTTTTTGATCTATTTTTCCAACATTACCAGGTTTGAATATTTTGTCTACTCTATCATATTGTAGCAACTGTTTATCATCTTGGAAGTACTGATAGAGTCTTATTGTCATTAATCCTCTGGATTTGAAGTTGATTGTGGAAACATTCTTTTTAAATAGTCTTTGCGTCTCTGAATTCTGAATTCTTTGAGATTTGCCAAGGGTCATTAAGGAAATGTTCCTTCCAATCTTAAACATTACTAAAGCGATAGTATACTTGTTATTAGCTAAGTCATTATAATAAGCTGATAATGACGCTTCTTCTGATGGATGAATTGGTGGAGCTTCTGATCTTCTTCCATCTCTAGCTTCCTTCAATTCATCAATTATTGATTTCTCCAGGAGCATTAGACTGTCTCCAGGGATTTCACTAGGTTCTGGTATGACTCCAACTTCTGCTAGACATTGTGTAAGAACATCCATATTTACTTTGGTTGAGAAATTGTATCCATTTTCATCTATTTTAACTTTCAAGCCAGGGTAAAGGTATGAGATTTTGGTGAATAGATTATCAGTCAATTGTAGAATCTCTCCTGGGATTTGTTCATCAATAAGGAGTATGTAAAGTTGCGACATGTTAGATAATTTATGGGTAATAAATGAATGTAATAAAAAATTAAAGTGATTGTTATTTTTATTGTTATTATTATTATTTTTATTTTTTTATTGCTTGCTTGCAATTGTTCTTGTCTTGTTTGCTATCTACAGTTTTTAAGAGGGGTATATATATAAAAATTAAAAAAGATCTTTTCAGCAAAAAAATTCTAGAGTAAAAGAGAAAAAGAAATCTTTAATATTTCACTCAACATTAAAAATTATCTAATAAGGAAATTTTTAAGGGGCTAATTTTTTGTACAAGTAATTCAGATCTACAAATTTTCTTGTGAGACCAAATTGTTGTGGCCTCATAATTTCTAAGCTGTCATACAGTGAGCTGGTAATCATGCCAAGCCACCATACAATTGTATTTAATTGCACGATCTGTATGATGTCATCATTGTACCAGGAGTTTACATTTTGATTGACCAGGTAGAATTCATTTTCTCTTTTTCTACTTTCTTCTATATTGTTGCCAATTCTTTATTGTAAGGGCTGTGCATTTTCTATATTGGCTTTCATTCTATTGTTCTTGAGTGAACAACCACTTCTATTCTTGTTTTCATTCCATTTTTTGTAGGGGAAGTGCACTTGCGCTTCACGTATTTCGTTCGGCGAAGTATCGCAGTTTCACCATTGTTTTCTTGGAATTTGCAAACCTCTAGATGAATCTGGCAAGTTTATTACTTTTCCTTTGCCTTTTCTATGTTGGTGAGTATTGCTGCTTCTATATTCTATGTTGTTTTGGCATGGTGTTGCGGTGATTTCAGGAATTTCACGTTTCTCTTGGAGAAATGCTGTTTCGCTATTTTTTCGTTCTTCGCAATAGTGATTTCTTTCTCGCTGGTTTTTAGACCACCAACATCAGTCATTTCTCTCATCACTAAGAGTGAGAAAGAGTTAGAACAAGATGTCATCTTGGTCTTCATTTATACTTTCTTTTTCTTTGATATTTTCTTTGTCGTCATTGCCGTCGCCAATGTCGTCACCATTGTTACGGTCCAGAATTATCCTTAATTCCTTAATTTCTTAGTTTTAATCATGTGACTAAACATAGATTGTAGAGACAGTAGAAATAGCAGAGATAGCAGAATTCTCAGTCATATCAACATTATTCGCTATATTATATTTATCTATCATGTATAACATATCTCACATTGTAATAACTTAGCCATAAATTATTTTATATAAATAAAGGATCTTTTGGATAAACCAAAAGGCATCAATTGATCAATACAAAAATCTAGCTAGTCAATAAACTGTCCTTGTTTATTGTTAATGAAATTTGTACACTTAATTGATTAAATAATAACTTATTAAAATACTTGCATTTATTGCACACTATTGGACAACTGCCAAAGTTGCTATAGAATATCAGTACTGTATTACTATAGGACTGTCCCACATTAAGTATACAACATCTATTAGTAATAGTGAGAGCCTATCTATAAAATAGAAGAAAATGCATTGCGTGATGATCCTGAAGTATACTAACTACGACAAGATTGAGTAACCGTAAAATTACCATTATTAGACGTTGATTGAATACTTATGTTACGATTATATCTATCAGGAGTCTGGATCGTAACATTACTCTTATATACAATATAAATTCTTAATTAATTACTATAATTAGTTAATACTTGCCTATTACTATAAAAATAGTAATAATATATATTATAAAAATTATTTAATAATAATAGTAATTATAAAAAAAATATAATTATATAAAAATTTTTTTTAATTAAAATTTCAGAAAAGTAAAATTAGTTATAAAAAAATATAATTATAAATAAATATAATTATAAACAGATTAAGAATTTATATTTTAATATATATTTTTGTAATTAAGTTTAAATTTTAATTATAAAAAATTTTGCAGATATTTTATAATTAGAAGAATTTCATGAAATAAAATCTACAAAAAATATATATTAAAATATAATTTCTTAGCTTTATTTGAATATAAAAACAAAAAATATTTATTAATTAAAATAAAAACTTTTTTACAAAGTAAAAATTTCAATTTTTACTAGATTTTACTATCAAAATTTTTATATACATGGTAATTTATTATAACTTAATATATATATTTACTTTTTAAAAAATAATCAAATAAAAATTCGATTTTTTTAATTTTAGAAAATCATAAATTTAATTATAAAATTTTTGAATTAAAATTAAATTAAAATTTATTAAAAATAAAAAAATAATAAATATAATATTTTATAATTTATAATTTTAATTCAAATAAAAAATATATAATTTAATTTAGTTTTATTAAAAAATATTATATTTTTGCAAATTCAAAAAATTTGATCTTTAATGATTATTTTTACTAATAATTATTAGATAAAATAGTATAATACTCTAAAAAAAGTAACTATTATATAATTCTAATTCTAATATAGATTATTTGATATACTTCCTAAAATTATATACAAATTAAATTACAAAATTAATATATAATGCAAATAAACAAAACAGATGCTTATTTTTGAAAAATAACTTGTATTTTAAAATTTTGTTTATAAATCTATTTTTGTGCTTTAATAAAAATTTAAATCTAATTCTAACTGAAATTTTATTTATTATAATTAAAGAATATATGGTGCATAACATCTAGAGTTATCAAACGTTTGTATTTTACAAAATGTATAAACATCTTTACAAAGAACTAAATGCAAAATTTAATCCATGAATATGGTAGAATAGGCCATTTCTGAGCATATTCACAGATTAAATTTTATATTTACTTCTTAGTAAAGATGTTTATACATTTTATAAAACAAAAATATTTGATAACTTTAGATGTTATGCACCATATTTATAATAATAATTTTTTTTATTGTAACTAGAATATTATAATATTTTATTTGATAATGATTATTAGTAATACCAATTATTTATTAAGAATCAGATTTTCCAAATTTGCAAAAGTTTAGTATTTTTTTTTTGGTAAAGTCTCTAGATTCGATAAATTAAATAGTGATATTTTTATTTGAATTGAATCTATAAATTACAAGGTATCATATTTCAAAATTATTGAATTAATTTTTTAATTTTTTTTGTTCAAATACATCACACTCACTCTCGATATAGCGAATCTCTCGTTATAATAAAGAATTTTTTCAGGATTACTATTAAACTTTCGCTTGATATAGTGAAGTTATATATTATTCTCTCGATATAAGCTACAGTGAAGATTTTTTTTTCTTGTCCCGATGTCTTCACTATAACGAGAGTGAATTGTATTTTCAAATATATTATCATTAAATTTACTTAGTTTTAATAAATTCAATAATAAAATGATCTGGTAATTTTTAAGATATCATGTTTCAAAGTTGCTAATTTTTTAAAAAAAACTTATTTTAATTTTAAACACTTAATTTAAAGCATGATATCTCATGATCCACCAGACCAAAGTCCACAAAAATTCATTTTTTAGAAAATTTGTTCAGTAGCTTTGGAACATGATATCTCATAATTTACAGGTCTAATTCAAACAATAATATACTATTCGATTTGTTAAGCCTTGATGAATCAAATGGTGTATTTTTTGTTCGGATTGGATCAGTGAATCGTGAAATATCGTGTTCAAAAGTTACTGGATAAATTTTTTATTTTCCATTTTTAATTCGATTTTCATCAGATTTCATCGGATTTTATGACATGTGACATTTAAGGTTTTATACTTTAGAAATCGCGATATTTCATTGTCAGACTATTTTGGTTAATTGTCATTAGTTCAGAATACGTAATGACAAATGAATACAAATAATTGATTTTGTAATCACTTGTAATCAATTGTAATCACTTGTAATTACTTGTAATCACTTGTAATCACTTGTAATCACTTGTCATCATTTATACATGTACATGTAATCAAATGTACATGTATATGTAATCACGGGATTCGATGAAAATACATGTACGAAAGTCGGTATTACTGCCAAATCGAATTGATTTTTGATTGATCTTAATGACAATGACGAGTGAAAGATACGTGTAATGGGAAATACTAATTATAGTATGCACTATGGCACACTAATGACATAGAAATGAATGTTATTTTCGAATAAACACATTAAAATCTCAAAGTTGCTTGCAATCTATAATACTACTTGTATCAAAGTCAAAAAGAGTATATATGTTATATTATTGCAATTGTGTATGTGCTTAAATAAATTTGGTTTTACAATAGGAACGTTCTAATTATTAATTATACCTAGAAATATTATGGACAGGATGTCCTTATTTACAAAATTCATATAACGATTATCGTATGTGTATTTAGGGTATTACATTTTTCGAATGGAATTCTTTAAAGTTTTTTTCCCCACATTCTTTATCATCAATTTATTCGCTATCAATCACAATTTTTTGTGCACAAAACCGATGTATTTCTATCATCGTTTGATATTGCTCAAACTCTTCGCGTACATTATTGAGTAGCAGGTCATATTCTTGAGGCGTGAGACTCGTAAATTCCAAAGTTGTTTTTTTCATAGCTTGGTATGCACTAATAGAGACCTCTGCACACTGAGTCAATAAAATGTAATTAATTAGTCAAAATAGTATAAGATAGAATGAACTCATGAATGCTAATAAAATGGTTACCAGTTCACCACATTTTCCACCAGCAGAACCATATATAGCTGATTGTTTTCCATTTCGTATATTTACAAAGATTCCTGAATTATCCAACATTCTTGGAAATTCGGTTATTACCCACGGATCTACACCTCGTGCTTTTGATGCTGCCAATACTATTGAAAAACCGAGAAATATTATAATACATATAAAATTCTTAGTCATCAGTCTAAACAACTTACCAGATTGTCTTAATTTTTTCGTGTTTTCTCCTTGATTTCTTAAAGCTGGATTATGACCCATCCACTCAAGCCATGCTCCAGGTTTCATAACACGAGCAGCTTCTTTGATTATTAATTTCCATTGTGGTATTGGTAAACTCAAAAAATGCGTGACCACAAAATCGAATCTGCTATTTTCAATTGACAGACCGTCAAGCAGATTGGCTTGTATGAATTCAACATTTTCTGGTAGTTCTGTGGAGGGGTGAAGTGGAGCAATATCGACACCTGTGAATGAGCATAATGGATATGTTTTGGCCATATCGATTATCCATGTTCCTGGACCACATCTAACATGATTATTCGAGTTAGAGTCCGGTATAAGTTATTATGATTACAAGATAAAAGACTTGATAGATGCTTACCCAAGATCCAGTATTTGTAACCCTCCAGCTTTTAAATGTTCTCCAATTGGCGAAGAGAAATTCCCTTGCCACATAAGTTTTGCCGCGATTTGTTGTTTTTCGTTTCGTATCGCTTCAGGTTCGTCAGTTGGGAGTAAAGTAGCAATACCTCGATGAAATTTCCGGCCGCCCTCGTAACGAAAATTCGAAGTTGTTGGACTTGGCGAATATTCATTAGAACTTATACTGGAAGTTGTTTTAAAGCGTCGTCGTTTTGATTGTCTTGATTGTTGTGAATGTTGATTTCCCATTTTGGAATATGTATAAATGAATGTCTGTTTTGAAGCTTGATTAAAAGAGTTTAGTTAAATATCAACGAGATAATATTGAAGTGCTGGTTAAATAAAAAAATCGAAGTTCTAGGCTCTAGTCGATTTTCACTAATTTTGGTGCTGTCTTAAAAATTATGTAATAAATAATTACCGTTACGTTTGATGCAAATTTTTAATCTTGTACCACAAAGAAATTGAAGTTATGTACGTAGTGAAGCCAAATCCGGCCAACCAATCCTTAAGATCATGACCGACGCCGATCAATTTCCGACCTTCGATGCAAATACGGTGACATTATCGATAGCGCAAAACGCAACTATTTGTCTTTTCATAGCGTTAAGCTGGTGATTTTCATTGATTCACCAAATATATTATATTTCATCGCTTGCATCGTGTATTCCATAAAACTGTGATTACATTTTTGACTCCCCAAAACAACAAAAGCATGTAAACATACCAAAAAAAAGTGAGTGCAAAGATTTTTCCGGCACAATTTCCTCTGTCGTATTTTTACATTATATAATATTTATTAAACATTTCTTTTTAGTTAAAATTAATCCTGCATACACGACATCAGTGTTGTCACTTGGACGTGAATCCAGCAATTTGATTGGTTAGGACACTTGTCCCAACCAATCAAATTGCTGGATTCACGTCCAAGCGACAACACTGCACGACATATCGATAATTATGCATGCTGATTTCATTATTTCAGGGACCTTTTTTGTGTAAATCCCTTTAAAAAGGAATTTTGGCGGAATTCCAAGTTCGTACAGCATTTACCGTTACTCGTATCGGTATATTAACTTTAGTTGTTATCTTTATTTGAATGTTTTGGTTCTTAATAATTCGTTATTACATAACAAACTCATCTCAATTAAATTAATTATTATTTACGTATTTTTTTTTATAAATAAAATGTTGATTTTCCTTTTTGGTTTGTTTTTGCGTGTTTATGTAATTAAAGTTTATTGGATGAATATGAATTGCCGATGCGGTTCTATAACTACGTGAAATATTAGGTAAAACTAATGTCTCAACTTCTGAAAAACTCCCATCCATTGTCTCAATAATTATTTTACTCGGAAGCTCTACTTTTTTTCTTTTTATACAAATAATTCATAAAGAATATTAATTAACAGAGATGGGCGCCGAAACCTTTTCAAGTAGTTTAGGTTAGAGTTCCGAAAGTCAAAACTATAACCGAAACTATAGCCGAAACCACTTCAGATAGTTTATGCGCTCAACTTTGATTAATTATTCTCTTCATACAAAATTACACAATTATTCAATAAAAGTCTAAATTAGATTAACAACAAATCGTAAAGAACAGCAGCAGCAGCAACGTTCAATAACACGTTCTTAATCCGTAATAAATACTTTATTTCACTCTTTTCAAAGATTGAAAATTATTGAGTCACTCATAAGTTACATGAACGGCATTTGGAATTGAACTGACAGGAGTCAATTATAAAGCTATACGAAAGAGAAAAATCAAAAATACTTGAAACTCGCAGCATTTGAGCATTTCTCAAAATAGGAAAATTATCATATAACCTTGTTTCAAAATTTCTGAACGATCATGTGATTATACTAGAAGCGATCTGATTGGCTGGATCTAAACCATCATATACGATGTTAAATTGTAATGATTAATTTGTAATAGTATGGAGTATCAATTTATTGTGAATTACTGAATTTAATATTCTCTAAGTATAATAACTAAATAGCTGATATCAAGAGTGGCGATATCATAAATACAGTCTGGAATTCTTTAATGTGACTAATACTTTTTCGCTGCATATTCATTCAAAAACTTTTCCTTTTAGATCTTTATGATATATATTCATGTAACCAAAAGCTTTTCTGGTGAAGCGCCGAATGGTTGACAAAGACACAGAATCCAATCTTGGAACAGTATTTTGCAACCCTTCCAGGTGTAGTCATAATTCGCATGTGTGTATTGCTTAGCGACATCCCAAAAATTCTCATTTTTCCAATGACATTTTTTCATTCATCAGGCTTCCAATACAGCAGTTACTTGTCACTTTTTTTAGACAGGTGAGACATGTTTATTATATAAAGAAAAAAAAGTTAGTGTATATTGACTGTTCAAATCTTATTTCAAATCATATAAGATTGTAATATGATAACTGTATTTAAGATAGTGTTATTGTAAATAATCTCTCTTTAGTATAATCTTTAGTTAAAAGTCATGTTATAAGTATAAATTTATTAAAATAGAATCTTTATCTTTAATATTATCTTATTAATGGCTAGCTTTTGAGTCATGAAAAAACTTTTTATGTTTTTAAAAACTAAAAGATAAATTAGAATTAAATGAAAAATATTTAAATT